CCGAGGGGTGGTGGTGATATCCAAATGAGGATGGCGGCTGCATGCGGAAGCAGACAGTTGAAGGTTGTTGGGCGGGGGCGTCCACGGACCGCAGGAACTTGCCCACGTCCCCCATGGAAGCCGTAGCCGGGGCCGAGCGACTCCCCCACTTGCCCCTTCCCCCATCACAACAAATCCAGGTCATGGGACCCCCGTAGACCCGCCTCTGCTGTCCTCCCGCATGCAAGATCCCCTCCCCCACTCTTCCACCAACCACTCCTCCCCACGGTCACCACCCCGATTTACCAAACAAAAACCTACCTGGGGGAGTCCTCCCGAGCGTAGATCTGACGGGGCAGGAAGTCCGGCGTATCCTCTTCGCCTGATGGCACACCTTGTCGTTGCTGGGGCGGGTGGGGTCAGGGGGCGTGAACAGGGTCGCAAGTGGGGGGTGTGAGTGGACGAAGCTCACTGTGGCAATACTCCCTGACACGCACTTTACTTGCCCTGGACAACCACCCGTGACCCAGATGGTAGAAATCCATGCAGCAGGAGCGAGAGAGAGATGCGTGTAGCCCCGTCAGAAGCTGCGAGTGAACTTCGAAAAATTAATAATACATGTCTTTGAATTCCAAGTTACTTTTACGAAACACATAAAATATGCACCTGTTCATGGACCACCCATCTATGGTCTGATTGTTTTTATGACAAAAATTTTGTCATTCGATCTTATAAGCAATTTCAAGACCTAATTTCTGCCTTAATTTTTTGGTCAAAAGTTTTGTCAAAATTTATTCCGCTCCGTAGAATTTTCTACGTTGCCAAGGATTTTTTTTTAACTTTACTAAAAAAAACTTCGGGTGTTGCCAAGAATTTTTTTAACCTTGCTAATGATTTTTTTATAGTTAATTTTTATTGTTATTTTCCATAGTAAAGTATTGTTCGCAGAGTTCATATAATAGTTTAAATTAAATCGTGTCCATGGCAACCTACTAAATCCGTATCATTAATCGTAAAAAAAATCGTAGAAATTCACACCAAAATATATCTAAAAAAAGCTCACCCCTCCGGGGTGTCACAAACTGATCCCTATCCTGAAAATTTTTTATAAATTGAACACCTCCTCCAGTTCCTTCCCTGGAGGCAATGTTCCCAAAATGGCGGAAACGTTTCCGCGTTGAATGGCGACACATTCGCTGGATGAGGAAAGACTTTGCACGACTTTCCCCCGTAGTTGAGGCGATCCTCTCGCCGATGACCTCGATGAGGTGGAGCCCCTCCTTGGCCCACACCCCTGTAGTCTCCATGGCGACGGGGACGAATAGAAAGCGGTCGATGAGGAAGGCGTACTTCCGGTTTTTGGCGTTGTGGGCGGTCTCGGCGGCGGCACCCGGCCGTTTTGATGTTGCAAGGAGGTGGGAGGGGGCGAACGTGTCGGCACACGTGAAGTCCCAGACCAATGATCTTCCCCGTGACCAAGGGACCATGGTCAGTCCGTCCGGCTTCTTGCCGTCGGCTCTTGCACAGCCGGGCGGCTCCTTAATGCAGGGAACTTCGGCCGATCTGAGGGCGCGGGCAATGACATCGTTGGCGGCTGCATGTCGAGAGTGGCGGCCCGCACTCTTGCGGCACTTCAGGCCGTGATAGCCTCTGGCGGTGACCTGTTCGCCGCATGGGCACTTGTGGGGGACGCAGATGTCGCATCCGAGACGTAGTGCGGTGGCGACACGAAAGGTTTCATTGGGTAGGTGGGTTCCGAGTTGGGGGGAGGGGAGTGTGTTGAGCCACGCCCCCGTGTGTGGTTGGGTGGCGGCGAGTAGGCGGGCCTTGTCCTCGGGTTCCGTCGCTCCTTCCCGCAGCTTCTGGATGGTGAGGAGTTGAAGGGGACATTCCCACGCAGATTGGGACCCCAACAACGTTTCGGCGGGTTTCTCCGCCCCAACCGCCAAAGTAGCCCATTCCCGCTCCGCATCCGCAAGGTGGTGTCGGCGGTGATGACATCTTCCGGGATGAGGGATGACACTAGTTGTGAGGTGCTGTGGCACGACGCGATAAAACACGGCATCGCCGTGTCCACGGCATGTCTCACTCCTAGGCCTCCCATCTTCACCGGAAGTGAGGACTGGAGCCATGGGTCAGGGGAAAGGTGGCAGTTGAGGGTGTCGTCGTAGTCCTGGAGGAGCTCCTTCTTCGTTGAGGATGGCGCGCAACGCAGAAAATATATGAGCCGGGGGGTGGAGATTGAGGCCCGGAGGAGGTAGAAAGCGGAGTGGGAGGTGAGGTCATGTAGGCGGGAGGACATGATGGCGAGGTACTCAGTCTTCTTCCCCAACACTGACACGATGGCTTCGTCAGTGAGGGGGCTCCCCAGGAGTGTCGCGGTTTCGGGGAGGATTGCCTGAATGCCAGGCGCGGCTCTTTCGAAGGCCGCCCAAAGTTCCCCCTCCTCCAGCGGCGTTGCCCCCATGAACCCCACTTCACATTTTGCGGTGTTGAGGTGGAGTCCGACTTCCTCCCCCATCTTCACCACGGTAGCCAATGCCTCGAGGACCTTGGCGGGGGAATCCGCTACCGTGGCGTCGTCGAGGTACCACATGTTGAGCGTGGTGTTGATGGCCTGGAGGATTGGGTGGACCACGAGTGAGAAAAGGGCGGGTCCGAGGGGGTCCCCTTGTTGACAGCCTCGGAGAGAGGGGATGGCGGTGGTCCCGTAGAATGGTATGGATGGGGAGTGGCACTGGGCGATGAAGGGGAAGTACTCGGGGAATTTCTCCTTGACGATGTTGAGTAGGACGTCACGTCTTATCTCGTTGAAAGCGTTCCTGAAGTCCATTTTCAGGAACGCCTGGGGGTGGTGTGTGTTGCGTTGAAAAAAATTCGCGCCGCATGCGCCCCCGCCTCTGCCCCTCCTTTGACCCCCACTCCCAGTTGATGCGGGGACAGGTATTCCACGAGGTTGGGGGTGATGCGGTTGGTGACGATCTTCGCCAACAGTCGCCGCCAAACGTTCCCCACGGCGACTGGTCGGATTCCTCCCGTCTTCTTTAGTAGGGCGGTGAGTGACGCGCCGTAAAAAATGGGGCAGATTGCTTCGGGGACCTCCCCTTTGATCATTAATTGAAGAAGGGCCTTGGTGGCCTTGATGAGCTCCTCCCCCCCTGCCCAAGGGTGGGGGAGAGCAAGTCCTTGAGGATTTGCGGGCGCATCCCATCCAACCCTCCGGCCTTTCCTGGGGGGAAAGAGGCGATTGCGGCGAGGAGTTGGTCGTCTTCAATGGGGGAATGGGGGTTCACCTTGTTGGGAGGGTCCGGGAAATTGGCGGGTTCCGGGTGTGGGGGGTGCTTGGCGAGGAGTGCGGTCAGGGTCTCTTCATTATTGGCGGCGATGACGTCATCCGACGTGAGCAGACGGATGGCTCCCCGCACATCCCCATCAGACAACTTGGCCTCTACCTTCGCGCGTTGTTGTTGTTGTTGATCAGGGGGTAAAGGAGGGCGTGGTACCCTGGGCGCTGGTGTGGTGGACTGGCGGTCTGTCCCCCATCGGTGGGCGAGGTCCTTAACCCACTTGGTCAAGTTGACCACTTTGTCCGATTTTCGGGGAACTTGGAGGACGTGGTAGGGGAATAGGAGCAGTGCTTCCCACGCCTCCTCGGAATTAGTCGTGGTGACCTGTACGGTTTTGGTGAGTGCCTGTGCCACGATCAAACGCGCTCCTTTGGGGACACGACGGAGAGTAGGGACTGAAACGTGGAGGTCGGCGAGACGCTCGCGGAATCTGGCCGCATGTTGTTGTTGTTGCTGGGAGTTTTGTTGCTGCTGTAGGGCGTCCGCCACCCAAGTAATCCCCCCGTACGTGTAATGGACGTTGCCCCGTCCCCCTTTCCGACTTGTGGTTACATTGGGGAAACACTTCTTCACCTCCTTTCCCACCAAGGAGTCGATGAGGGGTTCTGTCCCCTTCCCCACGCAGTATTCCTCGTATCGGTCCATTAATTGGGACTTGAGGATGGCCGAAGCGGGGCTGTCCGACACCTGGATCCTCTCCAGTAACCAATTGGTGACGTCCGCTGTGGCGTCCGCCCTGTTCGAGGGTGAAACTGATTTTCTGGGGGGACGTGGGGCCTTAACGGCGAGGCGTGATGTGTCGAGGGTGGAGGGGCCAGGCTCTTCATCGCCCTGAGAGAACGATCCTGGCGGGAAATTAGGTGCGACGGGCGTCGTAGGGGTTTTCGGGGGTCTTCCCCGCTTGCGGACGACGGTGGTCGACAAAAGAGAGACGTTGACATCTTCGGCTGGAGGGGGAACCATGGCACCACCCCCTCCCAGCCATGAACTTCCTACCCGGCGTAGTCTTCCGTTTTCGGGAAATCTTCTTATTTTGTGGGGAGGCTGGAATTTTGGGCGACAAGGAGTCCAACGTGGACCCACCCAAACAAAGTCCACAAAAGATTAGGCCAGTCAAGGAAAAAAAATTATTTTAAAGAAAAATATCTCGCCTGATTTAGGTGTTTAACACGCGTGGGGGAGAGCGGCCCCGACAGAAGACGGACGCTCAAACTCCGCGCCGCCTCTGGGGGCGCAGGGGTCCCCCCGCTTCACGATCAGGTCGTGGGAAATCCTCCCCCAAACTTCTCCGGTCAACCGATCGCCAAAATAGTGGGCCTTGGCAACCGATCCCGTTGCTATGGGTTGATTGGGGCGAACTGCTACTTGTTGGGCAGATGGGCCGTCAAAATCGAAGAAAAAACCCCCCTGGGGCAAAACCACCCCCACAAAGCACTTTTCACTGCCCTCTGCGGGTCTAGGTGGGGGGAACTTGAAATAGGGGGAGGTCCCTACTAGTCACAATGGTTAAAAACTTTGGTTTTAAAAATATTAAAAATTGGAGAGGAGCAAGGTGACGTGTGCTCGACTCGAGCTCCCTCTCTCCCCATGAATTTTAACCCATGAATTTTTCTAACGTTGCCTAGCATTTTGTTAAACGTTGCTAAGCAATTTTTGTAACATTGTTAAGCAATTTTACTCATAACCATAACGATACTCATAATCATAACTATGACCGTAACTATAACAAGAACCAGAACCGTAACCAGAACCACAACCATAACCGTAACCAGAACCAGAACCATAACCATAACCGTAACCAGAACCATAACCGTAACTATAACCAGAACTAGAACCAGAACCATAACCATAACCGTAACCAGAAACCGTAACCATAACTGTAACCAGAACCAGAACCATAACCGTAACCAGAACCGTAACCAAAACCATAACCGTAACCAGAACCATAACCGTAACCAGAACCGTAACCAGAACCATAACCGTAACCAGAACCGTAACCAGAACCATAACTGTAACCAGAACCATAACCGTAACCGTACTCGTAGTTGCAATGAGAAAAGAATCCTGCTCCCTGATTGGCCAATTCAAAATATCATCATCCAATCAGAATGCTGGAATGTTGCGTAAAATTTCAACGGGACGGACTTTTGTAAATATAATATAGATGACCACGAATAATTTAAAAATACTGTATATATAGCCTACATAATGTAGGACCAATACAAATTTTATTAACAATAAATTACTGTTCATTAATATTTATAAGATAATCTCACAATAGTATGTAATTTACCGTATCGAGTTACGGGTCGACGGGATTATATCACCCAAGGGGTGGTCTACAACATATTTACGGACGGCGGCGGTATCTCGAAACCCCGCTCGCGGAAAGCACAAAAACGGCATAAAATAGAAAACATGCATTTTTATAAGTTTACCGCTGAGGCACTTTTGGGGTAAAATGAGATTTTGGGGGTATTGTGAGACGGGGCAAGGTGGAACAAATGGGTGTGCCATGTTTTTTAATTATACTTTATGTAGGTACAATTTTTAGGTAAAATGAGGAATTTGAGGTAATGTGATACACAAGTGGGTGTGCCATGTATTTTGCTTATATTGTATATATGTAGTATGCCGTGAGGCTAGCGGCGAGTTGTCCCGCGGCTAGCGGCCGGCGGTGCTCAAACTAGAGGTGAGCGTAGGGCAGGGCATGCCCTAATAAACGGCCTGCCCGCCCTGCCCTATAGGACGTAGGATAGGGCGGGCACTTGTCAGGTGAGAATCGTAGGGCGTAGGGCGGGCAGGGCGCAATTTACTAGGGCCTAGGGCGGGCAGGGCGAAATTTATTAGGGCGTAGGGCGGGCGGGCGTAATTTATTAGGGCGTAGGGCGGGCGGGCGTAATTTAATAGGGCAGGGCGGGCACCCTTTCTTTTTTTAACAAAATTGTGCACGGCGCTATTGGTATTTGTATTTGTACAGGATTTTGGATTGTACAGGATTGTACAGGATTGTACAGGATTGTACAGGATTGTACAGGATTGTACAGGATTGTACAGGATTGTACAGGATTTTTAACTTGCACTTAAAAAGGTTAGTTCATCTTGAGACAAATACAAGGTGGGAGATACGTTTACTTGCTGGGAAAATATTTTTGTCCTTCGTAGTGATGGCCCCAAATAAATAGGTTTTGTTTTAAATTTCGTTATTGCCAAGTTTTTAAATTTATAACGACGTGTCAACACCTCATTGTTACAGGTAAATGGAAAACGCACTATTTCAAATATTTGAAAATGATTAAGCAATTTCTCTTAATTTATTAATTTATTTAATTTAATTAATTAATTTTAATTTACAGATATGTAAGGGTAATAATATTTTTTCTTTAATACGCAGGACCACTGGGAAAACGTACTAAGGGTTGAACTAACAAGTATTTTAAAACTTACAGTTACGTTGTAATTAATATCATGATAGTTTATATTTTCTTTATTTGCTTTAATTTATATTTTCTTTATTTGCTTTAATTTATATTTTAGATATGGAGATGAATCACCAGGAAGATCAAAATTTGTCTCAGTCGCTTCCAGATATTGATGAAGACGAAACCGCAGAAAATCAGCCAGAACACAAGTCGTTGTCAAAACGTGATGTGGAGAAACTTATCTCAAACAATAGCAAAAGAGTAAAACTGCAGAAAAAAGAAAAATCAAAAAATCAAATAACCCAATCTGACGTGTGGGACACGTTTTTAAAAGTATTTTTGGACAACGAGGACATTCACATGGTTCACTGTGTATCGTGTAAGACCTGTCTTACTTATCGATCGAAGGATGGAACAAATAGTCTGACGCGACACAAAAACTCCTGCGGTACAGCGCCCAATCCTTCAATTTCAAACAAAATCTCTCAGCAAAAACTCAATTTTACCGTCAAAAACGCACCAAAAGAAGCAGTGAATTCATTAAATGATGATATTGTCATAGGATTAGCCCAAGATCTTCGGCCATTAAATTCTGTTGGGTCCAAAGGATTCTTAAAGATTGCAAAACCGCTTATCAGTTTTGGGGCAAAATATGGTGATCAAGACTTAGCGAACATTATTAAGCACAGAACAACATTAAAAAGGGAGTACTTGCCGAAGATAGTTGAACGAAAACGAAATGAAATTGCGGAAAAATTACGGGCGGCCCCACAATTTCCTTATTTTGCGTTTACTTCAGACATGTGGAGCGAGAAATACAAACAAAAAAGTTTCTTATCCCTTTCTATTCATTATATCAACAGCAAGTGGGAACTAAAATCGAATTTACTGGCAGTTGATAAATTCCTTGAAGATCACAAGACAACAATTAACATTCGAGAGCAATGCCGCAAAATTTTATTACAATATTTTGATCAAAATGTTTCAAATATTATGGAAAAATCTTGGATAGTCACCGATTCTGGATCTAACATGATAAACGTCATGACAAATCGACTAGCCTGCCAATGTCATCGTTTGAATACATGCGTTGAATGGATTTTGAACAATAAAACAACCCCAACGGTAAAACAAACCGAAACTGCACAAAAATCTGGAAGAACAAATTCAAAGAAAAAAGCTTTCACTTTTAAGGAAAAATGTCCAATAATGCAGGTAAGCTATTTCAAATAAAATTTACTTATTTAAAATATTATGTAATCACGGTTACATTAAATAATATATTATAATTTAGGAAGCCGTCTCATCAATCAAAGAAGTTGTGACATACTTTAAACAGTCGTCCCTTAATTCAAAGCTCACGAATACACTCAAGCAGGATGTCGTCACAAGGTGGAATAGTGTCCTGTCAATGTTAGAGTCGTATTTAAAATCATCTAACGAAGTAGAAACAATTCTTTTGGAAATTGGAAAAATTCACAAAATAAGCAAAATTAATGGCGGAGTTGTGAAAGAGCTGGTTGAATTTTTAAAACCCTTTGAAGATTGCACCAATGTTTTCAGTCAAGATTGCGCCCCGACTTTACATCAAGTAGCTCCGTGGTTTCACAAATTAAACCAACATCTCACAGCGGCGCCGGACGATTCAACTGAGATGAAACTGCTGAAAGAACAATCCAAAATCTGCTTTGACGAATATTGTAAAACGGAGACGATTCATCATATCGCAGCTATGTTAAATCCGAAGTAAACTGAACCGTTATATATTTATATATTAGTAATTAATATTTTCGGCTTTAAGATTGTTTTACTTATTTAGATTTCGTAAGCTAAAATTTGCTTCCGACCAGGAAAAACAAATGGCTTATGAAGAATTGAAGCAACTTATGATGGCAGGAATAGATAATTTTCAAGCAACAGATATTCTTGGAGTACACTTTGAGGAGCCACCTTCTCTGGGTCCGGCTGAAAAGAAATCTCGTTTTGCGGATATTGAGGATTCAGATAATGAGGAGGATCAGGAAAATATTACTGGCTCTGTAATTGCTCAAACTGAGCTAGATCGGTACCTCCGTGCTAAACCTAATGAGTTGCAGTTTGGTTCATTTTTAAACCACGGTATAAAATTGTTTCTATCTATATACATTTTTAGCATCAGAGTAAATATGACAATAATTTACTTCTCCATCGCATTTTATAGAACCTGGAAAAGAAGACTCGAAATTTGACATCCTGTCTTTTTGGCGGCACGCAACACACTTTCCGAATTTGCAAAAGGTTGCTCAACGGATACTTGCAATTCCGGCGTCGCAGTCAACAGATGAAAGGGTATTTTCAACCACAGGTGCTATAACGTCGCCAAGAAGGACGACACTTTCGGCAGGGACACTTTCAGATCTTATATTTATTCATAAAAATTTTTAATCTGAATTATGTGATTAAAATAATTTGATATTGTTTAAGAAACCTATAAAATACTGAATTCCCATGAATTTTTATTGTTTTCTTAATTTATTGTTAATTAATTAATCAATTAATTAAAACTAAAATTAATTAGTGTTTATCAATTTATTGTTTTTTTCTTATATGTTCACTATTGTTTTTTAATTGTAAAATCATTTTACTTGGAAATCATTTTGCTGATCGAACATAGGGTACTTAATCTCATAATTAGACAAAATAGTAGGGCAAAAGGTAGCAGGGCTTAATTATTTAGGGTGTAGGGCGGGCGGGCGTAATTTATAAGGGCGTAGGGCGGGCAGGGCGTTTTTTTTAGCCAGGTAACGTAGGGCAGGGCGGGCAGGGCGTAATTTAATAGGGCTTTACTAGGGCAGGGCTTTTGAAAATCGCGCCCTACACAGCTCTAGCTCAAACCCGGTTCTAACTTCACAGACGTCAAGAAAATTCGTTGATCTCACGTGGTCTCCTCTTATTACTGGAGGACCGTTCACAAAATATAATAGGTTAATCGGTGGAAAGGTAATCTGGGGACCATGACATTTCTATACTTAAGGCGTTTCATTAATTAACTAAATAAACGAAATAAATCTACAATGAAAATTATTACAAAAGTTCAGGTGATTTTTATTCCCGGCCCCTAAGATACGAAATGCAGTTTGCAATCTAAAGGTAAATGCAAATCTTTCCTTTAGTTCAAATCAAATTTAAATATTTTATCCCGATAACCACTGAATTAAACCTTGGCACCGAATACATACTTGGAGGACCGGATATGGCACCGATGAAATTACGTAAATAATTATTTCATTCAGATCCTTTTCATACCAGTTATTCAATTTTGTCCCAATTGCTAATTTTAGGATCTGCTGGTAAAGCTCGTATAGTGCAGGAAGACATCCTTTTCCAGAATCCTGATATCTTTACTGCATTAATGAACCCGGTCGTAAGGGCGCTGTTTTTTGTTAATCTGACTAGTTTAACCCAATTTTTTAGCCACTCAATACGTTTTTAAATAAATTATGTAGGTCCTCGACCTCATCTTCAGAAAGCTGCCAATTGACGATGTCCGCTCATCCCGGCTCGTCTGCGCCAAATGGGGAGACGTTGGGGGATCCGTCTTGACGAAAAAATTATTTCTGTCCTTGGAAAAGCTGATTCCCTGCGACACACCCTCAGTGGCCGCGGAAGCATGGGGACATGGGTACAATGTCCCCACGGTTTTTTGATTTCCCCCCTATCTGCCCATGTTATAGTAGCCCCGCCCTCGCCTACCCTACAATGTTAAAGTCCCCACATGTCCCCACGGCTTCCGCGGCCACTGCACACCCTTATCTGACCCACCACCCGTCCCTGATAAATTTTTGCGCCGAGTTTTCATCGAGCACACACCGACACAAACCTGTAGTCCAAGCACCTACCAACATCTTCCAATCAATGACTTGACCCTGCTTCCCAGAATGGATCAATTTACTCAAGAATTACTTATCAATGTCGGTTATTGGAAAGGCGTTCAACTTCTACGAGCCCTTGCAAATTCACAGT